CACACACACACACACACACACCCGCGCCCCAAGAGTTCTTGCGCACTGCCGAGGCCGGTGGTGGGAACTATCCAGCACGACCCCCCGCCTGCAGGCAGGGAAGGCTGCGCGGTCCAATGGCACCACCAGCAAGGGCTGACTCGGTCCAGGAGGCAGGGACATGATGAGCGACGCCGCCTTCGAGGCTCCGGTGTTTCATGATCGGCCGCTGAAGCTGCGCTCTTCCCAAGGGGGCAGCTACATGTAGGGGAGGCCGGGGGGTCGCCGTGCGAAAGGGGCTGTTCGGCGGTGCCTGGCGCGATGAACGATAGCGCCCAACGAATTCGCCCCTCGCCCCCCCTCCCCTTGCCCGCGTCCCCCCGCCGGCGCGCTCGCCCGCTGCCGAGAAACTCCGCATGCACGTGTGCAGAGGACACACAAACATCCACGCACGCGCGCCCATATGCACGCAGACGACGCACACAGCGCACGCCACAGAGCTCCACACGCCGACACCCTCCGGCCGAGCCGGGAGGGTGTTGCAAACTCGAAGACAGCAGCAGCAGGAAAGCACACTGGCCCGACGTGCAGAGAGAGAGAGAGAGAGCACATCGGAAATATGCTCAATGCGGCTTGAAGCACCCCGCGGCCCCAGCCACCTCGGCACACTCGGCACACACCCACACCGGGGTGAAGAAGGAGCCCAAGGGGGGGAGGGGCCACCTTCGCAAGCCACGAGCCAGCATTCCTGCTCCGCGCATGGCCCGCGGGGCGGCGCAGCCGGGGGCGGTGGAGAGTGTTCCCGCTGCCCGCATGGGACACAGGGTGGTCGTCGCACAGTCTCGCCAGTCGGAGACTTGGGCCTTTCGGCCCAGGACCAGCCCTCGGCACCTCCGGGCTGAGACACCAGGCACAGGAGGCGCGGCCGCGCCGGCGGGTATGCGAGAGTCCATAAAAAAAAATAAAAAAGAAGCCCATGCCGGGCGGACCGGCTGGCCGTTCCTCGCGCCCCCGTCCCCCGTGTCCCTCCAGGAGCAGCAGCCCCGCGGGCTTTCCCGGGAACCCCCTGCGGGCCTTGTGGTGCGCCAAAGACGCCCCCCCCCCCCCCTGGTGCCCCCGTCTCCCCGCTCCCTTGCCCCCTCCCTCGCTCGCCCCGACACCGCGCGCACGCACCTGCTCCACATGCAAGCCCCCTTCCAAGTGCGTGGCTCTTCCGCGAAAGGGCCTCACCGAGGAAGGCCGCCAGTCACCGAGTGAGAACCATCGTTTCTGGTGGGGGCGTGAGCTTGCGCACGAGCGCGCGCCTCTGGTGCCATGCGGGTCGTTTACAAAGGAAGCGCCGGCTTCCCCCCCCCACCCCTGCCCCCTGTGAGAGCCTATTCCCAGGACCGGCCGACGGGAAGCGAATTACCCATTGTTCGCGCGCTCCGAACCGGGGCCACCTCGAGGCACACAGCGGCGGAGGTAACACGCAAGCACCTCGCCCCTGGGCTGTGGGGTCCGGCATGCGTGAGCACCCCCCCCCCCCCCCTCCGAGAGACTGGGCCCCCCCCCTGCCCAGCTGGCGGGCAGCCTCCACCGGTTCCGAGAGCCCAAGAGCCCCACGCCCAGCGGCCCTCCCCTCGGGCCGAGTCGGGCGCGCATGCAGGCCAGGCTGCGCCTTTCCTTCTAAGTGAGTCTCCCGCGTGCGCGCTCGCACCCGGCGCATTGAAAGCGCACACCATAACCTGGCACAATTCCCTCCCCCCCCCTGCCCGGAGGGCCGGGGAGGGCGCCCGACCTCAAGAGGACTCCGTCTCCGTGAGGGGTCGGCGAAGGCAAGCGACCAGGCTGCACGCGGCACGCACATTCATGCTCAAGGCATATGTGCCGCCGCTGTCCGCGAGGAGGCTCCCAGTGCAGCAGCCGGGATGGGGCGCATGGCCACCCCTCGGCACCACCTCCCCGCTCATTCGGGAGAACGCAGGAGTCGGCTCCGTCACCCACCAGCCCGGCGTCACATAAGCACAGGGGCATCCCTCGCTGCCCCTCGACTGACACGGGGGCCCGGCCGCGAGCCCCGCACCGCCGCCCCCCCTCGCCGAGTTCCCGGGGCCTACTCGGCTCGAACGTCCATCGGCCCCCGCGCCCCGGGGGACATGCCCTCGGTTGGTGTCCATCCAAGTGGGCGCCCCCCCGTCCACGAATGCGGGCACGGTCTCCGGCACGGAGACAATCCCCCAGCCCATATATGTGTCCCCCCCCCCACTGCCCCTGGGTCCCCTCGACGCAGTCAAATTCAGGCGGGTCAATACTCTTTTACTCGGCCGAGGTCCGCCTGCACTCGGGCACCCTGGTCTTGTCTCCACAGGGAACGCGCCATTTCCCGGAAGGGGCCGCCGGCCCCCGAGGGCGGCAGGCCGATACAAGCGCGTCGTCACTCGGCCCTCGGAACGCCGGCCGGTGGCCGGCCAGAGGCGAAAAAAAAACACCCTCCGGGCTACCATTGTCGGGACCGCGGTAGGAGGTTGGGCGTCCCCCCCCCCCCGAAGACCAGCGCCCGAGGGCGCCAAAGCCGGGCCCACGGTCCGCCTGCTCCACTTGCTCCCACACCTGGTCCTAGGGAAGGATGTCTCAAGCCCGCCGGGCGACATGTAATCGAGTCCGCCGCGTGGGCCAAACCCCGGAGGCAGCAAGAGCGAGCGGGCGAGCGAGCGGGAAGAGACCGCATTCGCAACACTGGCGCACTCCTGCACAGCGACACTCCGCGCCACACTCCCCAGCGAGACTCTAATGCATGGGGGGACGGCCTCGCGGCGGCCCGAGCGCCAGCCGCATCTACTGAAGCCACGAGAAGCCCCCTATTGGCGTGTCGTCAGAAAAGGGGCCTCTGGTGTTCGTCCAGGGGCGCTCCATGGCCGGCACCTCGAAGCGGGCCGCGGAATCACGAGCACACACGGCTGAGGAGTTGCCTTCTCATGCCCATGGCGTGACTCGGGCGTATCCGGTTCTGATGGATGGGGTCGGATCAATTTCAGACGTGCGCACGTGCTTTGACATTCCGGTGATACTGCCCGGCTCGGTCGTGGCCGACCTGGCGGCACCTTTCGCTGGCACGGCACGTCGGGAGGAGCCAACCCCCTTGGCGGACGGACGGGCCCACAGCAAAAAGGGGCTACCATCTGGCCGGAAGTAGGCTGGAACGCCCGCTCCTCGAGCGGCTGGCGCCTCACCACGCCGGATGGGTGCGAAAAGTTCCCGGCCACAACACCCTAGCCTGCCCTCTCCTTGTGAACACACACACACCCCCACACGCACGCATCAAAATGGACTTGCATTTACATACACTCACACCTCGAAGGAAGGGCAAGCAAATCCAATGAGTAACACCGGACCGGCATCTGTGGCGGAGGAATTGCCGCACACCGCCCGGCCGAGCACTTTCTCTCTCTCTCCCAATCTGCGCGCCACCGAACCTTTGCCTTTCTGTCGCGCCCCCTCCTGTGCTTCCCACAAAGGAGGCACCATTTCCGTGATTGAAACCACTACCACGGGAGCTCACAGCAAACAAACTTGCAGCCTGGCGCCCCCCCCCATCCCTGCCCATCCCTGCCCATCCATCTCGCCCCCCACACAGCATTCCCTGCCCGGAATGGGCCCATGCCCTGAAAGGAGGGAGAGCGCCCCGCCCCATGCATAGACGCACCCGCGCGCGCTCACACACAAGTGCGAGATCGAAGAAACAAATGGGCTTTTAAATTTGAGAGGGGGGGGGGGGAGCCACACAAGGTGGGACACAAGGGAACAAGAGTCACGCATTTGCGCACATACGAAAAATGGGGAGGCTCATGGATCGAGAGGGTTCTCCCCCCTCCGACAGGCATGTGCGCGCGTGCTCCGTCCACACAATGCGATTCACAAACACTCGCGCACGCAGAAGAGCCACATACGCGTATATGTGGGCGGTGCGCGAAAGCAGGCGGGCGGCGATGAAAGGACTGGGGAGAGTCGGGAAGAGGACCAGGAGGGAGTGTGATGGAGAACGGCCCATACGGTGCCCCATGCCGCGGAGGCGCGGCAGAGGCGCAGAAGCAGAGCCGGCCACACCCTTCCCCTCGCTCTTATCCATTCTACCGTGCAGGACAGACGAGAGGAAGGGGAGAAAGTGGGCCACAGCCATCGAAAGGGAGGGGAGAGAGAGAAGGGAAGAAACAGGAGGGAAAGAGGACCAGGCGGCTCTGGGGGCACACCCAGCGGACGCCAGGCAAATGCTCCCCATCACCATCGGGTCACCCTCCCCCCCCCCCCGGTATCGCAGAGGCGCCTCTTGATGGCCCGCCATATCTGAGCATATGCGGCGGCGGCGGCGTGCACATGTGCCCATGTGTGTGCTTTCACCGCCGCGGCTCACCGCGCGTGTGCGCACGCGCGCGCGCGCACACACACACACACACCGGCTCTTAAGAGCTGTAGAGATCATCAACACCCGGATCCAGGTGGCCGGCGGATGACCCGGCAGCCGGGGCGCCACCCGCCGAAGCGGCAGGAGCCGCCGCGGCCGAGGCCCCACCGGACGACGCACCGGCACCGGCCGCGGCCGAGCCCGTCGGGAAGCGGAACTCCCCGGTGCCACCACCGCCAGCACCGATGCCGCGAGACTGCTGCAGCGTCTGGGAGAACATCTCATAGCGGCGGATGTCCGCATCGGACACCGACCGGCGCGCAAAGCGCATGGCCTCCTCAAAGTGGTCACGACGAATCTCCGGCACCGGGTCCTCGTAGCCCTCCTCGGCGGTCATGGCCGCCACGCTGTCCGCATCCACGGCCATGGCATCATCGCCGCTGGCATTGCCACCCTCGGCCTCCCGACGGCGACGCTCCAGCCACACGCTCCGGTCACGCTCGATCGACTCGCGAATGGCGAACTTACAAGCACGCTGGCAGATTTCCGTGATATCGGCACCGGAGAAACCGCGCGTCGCGGCCGCCAGCACCGACACATCCACATCCGGAGCCACCGGCGACTTGCGCAGGGCCGCGCGGAAGATCTGCTTGCGCGACTCGTCATCCGGCAGGGGGATGTAAATCAGCTGGTCCAGGCGCCCGGGGCGCATGAGCGCCGGGTCGATGGTGTCCGGACGGTTGGTGGCGCCAATGATGAAGACATTCTTCTTGGCACCCATGCCATCCATCTCGGTCAGCATCTGGTTCAGCACACGATCCGAAGCGCCGGAGTCCCCGGCCGACGTGCCACGCGCCTTGGCGATGGAATCCAACTCGTCGAAGAAGAGCACACACGGAGCCGCCGCGCGGGCCTTGTCAAAGACATCCCGCACATTGGCCTCGGACTCGCCGAACCACATGGTCAGCAGCTCCGGGCCCTTGATGGAAATGAAGTTGGCCTGGCACTCATTGGCAATGGCCTTGGCCAGCAGGGTCTTACCCGTACCGGGCGGCCCATAGAAGAGGACACCCTTGGAGGGGTTCATGCCGAACTTGGTGAACTTCTCCGGATGCTCGACCGGGTACTGCACGGTCTCCTGGAGCTCGCGCTTGACCATCTCCAAGCCGCCGATGTCATCCCAAGACACATTCGGCACCTCGATGACCATCTCACGAAGGGCCGACGGGTTGGTGGAAGTCAGCGCATGGCGGAAGTTGTCCATGCTGACAGCCAGCATGGCCAGCACCTCGGCATCGATGGTGTCCTCCTCCAGGTCGATGAGCTCCATCTTCTCGCGGATCTGCTGCATGGCCGCCTCCGAGCAGAGCTGCGCCAAGTCCGCACCGACAAACCCATGGGTGTCGGAGGAGATCTTCACCAGATCCACATCGTCACTGAGCTTCATGTTCTTGGTGTGGATGTTCAGGATCTCCAGGCGACCAGTGGCATCCGGGATGCCGATGTCCACCTCGCGATCGAAGCGCCCGAAGCGCCGCAGGGCCGCATCGATGGAGTTCGGCCGGTTGGTGGCGGCCATGACCACCACATTGGACCGCGGCTTCAGGCCATCCATGAGGGTCAGCAGCTGCGACACCACACGGCGCTCGACCTCGCCGCCGGCCTTGTCGCGCTTGGGCGCAATCGAGTCGATCTCATCGATGAAGATGATGGCCGGGGCATTCTTCTCGGCCTCCTCGAAGGCCCGGCGCAAGTTGGACTCCGACTCGCCGGCCATCTTGGACATGATCTCCGGGCCGTTGATCACCAGCAGGAAGGCACCCGTCTCATTGGCCACCGCACGGGCAATCAGAGTCTTACCGGTACCCGGAGGGCCGTACAGGAGGATACCACGAGGGGGCTTGATGCCGATGGCCTTGAAAAGCTGCGGGTGGCGCAGGGGGAGCTCCACCAGCTCGCGGATCTGGGCCATCTGCTTGCGGCAGCCACCGACATCATCGTAGCCAATGTCATTGAGGTTGGCCTCCTCTTCCTCGCGCTTGATGGGCTCGCCCTCGCAGAAGATCTCGGTGGACTCATTGATCTGTCACATATGACGGGTGGAGGATCGGGGATGAAGAAGAGAGGGCGCAGAGGGGCGGGGGCGGGGGCGGGAGGCTATACTGTTAGATCCAGGCCAGGAGAGGAGGGGAAGACCGAAGGAGAAACCAGCCCCCGGAAGCCAATTCACTCTGGCCCCCGGGGGAGCGACGACACGCACGATGCAGTAGGGAGCCGGCTCGCAGTCGACAATCTTGAACTCGACCGCGCGCATGGCGGCGCGCACGAGGAACAGATCACCCTTGCGCACGGGGCGGTAGGCACCATCGAAGTACGGACGCAGGAAGGTGTCGAACAGGTTGCCGGTGACACCCTGAATGGTGTCCTCGATCGGCAAAATGTGGACCTTGGTGGCGTACTCGATCCCATCGGTGAAGGGGTGGATGGAGATGATGTCGGACAGGCGAACGCGCAGGTTGGAGCGGACAACTGCGCACGTACACCGGCCGACCGCGGGACAGGGAGCATGTCACAATTGGGAGAGGTAAGTGCCGGGACAACATCCGCAGCCGGGAGGAAGGCAGACTCGAGGGTGCACAAACAGACAGCCGGGTTCCCTTCTTTTTTTTTTCCCCCCCGCCCCGACCCCGGGCGCGGGAGAACGGCGACATACCCTTGTTGATGCGGCACTTGCCGACCTCGCAGTTCTCATCGCCCATGACAACGAGTGCCGTGTCGCGGCGCTTCTTGCCGCGGACGAGGATGGTGTCGCCATTGAAGAGCTCCAGCTCCTCGATGGTCTGGGGGTTGAGGATGATGATGGAGTTGTCATCCTTGACGGTCTCATCGACGATCAGGCGGTTGGGGGCGCTCTTTTTCCGGAGGATAGCCGTGGCCAGATCCTCCTCCTTGCTGTGGGAAGCGAGTCAGAGGGGGGGGGCTTCATGCTGGGAAAGGGGCGAGAGGAGGGGGGAGACCGGGAGGAGGCAGAAGCAAGCGTGGGCTCGAGGGGAGCCGAGGCAAGGCCCGCCACGGTCGGGAGGAAGACGGGGGGGGGGGGGAGGGAACAACAAGGAGCATGGCGGAGAGGCCGGAAACGCACGGAGTAACAGCGGGGTTGGTGGTCATGGTGGGGGGGGGGGGGCTTCAACCGTGGCCTTTCTTCGGAAATGTGAAGCAAGGACCGGGGACTCGGGTCAGCGGGCAGGCGAAGGGGAGGAGGGGGTAGGGGGAGGGGGAGGGGGAAGGGGGAAGTCGAACAAGTTCGAGACACGGAGAGGGGGAGAGTCAATGCAAAAGGGTGTTTGCATTATGGGCTGATCGAGCCTGGATTAACCGGACACAGTACTTCCAGAAGAGTCGCAGCGGACAATGGGGGAGCGGCGGCGATGTGTCCAGGAGGGCCGCCAGGGGGAACCGGGGAGAGGGGAGCGATGTTGGACACCCTGCCGCCGCCACCGCCCGGCCGCGCTGGAAGAGGCAGGCAACCCCCGCCGGAAGTTGGGGGAGGGGGGCGAGAACAGCCCAATCATGTCAACACCCGGGAGCCGGGTCTCCCGGCCCCATGCTTACCATCGCACACCCGCACCCACACACATACACATACAAGCACCGGCCCTCTACAAGGGGAGGGGTGCGATAACCGAGGTCCCGGCTTTCTCCCAGCTGGCCAGCGAGAAAAGCCCAAAGTCTGGGGGGGGGGGGGGGGCAGGGAGCCTGGCTACCCAGCACCTCGGTCCCGAAGACGGGCGGCTCCCCCTGCGCGCACTGCATGCGCAATCGGCCGTTGCGCCCGCGCCCCGCGCCACAATGGCACACACGCACCCCGGCCCGCCCCCCAGGACTACAGGTGTCTTCGCTATTCCCCGCCCCCTCCCCCCCCCCGATCCAGACGTGGGTCCGACCTGCCTTTGGGGCGGCGGCTTGCCCTGCGATCGCCGGGGGAACCGCTTGTTAAGCTGCCCCTCTTCGAAGGCCTGTCTACCGGCGAACCGACGCGCCACGTCAATTGCCCGGAGTCAGCCCCCCTCCCCACGGAAGCGAATTATACTCGATGGTTCCAGGCTCGGAGAGCTGCCTGAAGTGCGGAGGCCGAGGCGCGGCCGGGACGCCCCCCCCCCCCCTCCACAGTCTAGTGCCTAGACTCGGGACACGTCACACGGCCGTTCGGTGGGATTCCATGGGGAAAAAGGCGCTTTCAACGGACCTTGACCATTTGCCCCCGAGGAACATATGCCATGGGCAACGGAGCGCGCCGCGGCAGAGGACAGGCCGCAGGCCGCAGCCCCTCCACAGCCAGCAGGGAATGGGTCCCCCACCAAGAAGGCCCGGCTAAAGTGACCTAACGAATAATCCCTCTTTCATATTGGCGCCCTTACACATATGCAGGCTCCCTGCAGGAGGGCAAGGGGCCCTCTCTTCCTTCAGGCTGTCAAGAGACGCGGCTGCCCCAACCGGACCCACCCAAGTTGTTGCTCACGCGCATGCACTGCCCAGCCCCTGGTGGGTCGGTCTTCCGGCTCCCCCTCGGCCCCGCATGGGAGGACCGAACGGGGAGAGCCGCGCAGCTCCCCGAGGAACAGCACGACACAGTCCTTTGACAGGCTGTCCCGGCGTCTTGATTTTTCTTCCCATTCCCTTATCGCTCTACCCCCCCCCCCCCCCTTGCCTCGCCGCGCACACACACACACACACACACACACGGCCCCCCGCGCCCCTTGCGACCCGGGGCCGTGTACCCCTCGCGCCCGTCCTTTGCAGGCATGCGCTCTTCATGCTGGTGCTTTCTTCCTGCACGAAAGAACCCCCACGGTCCAGGGACTTGCGTCCCCAGGCCCGAGGGGTCGGGGGGGGGGGGGGGAACCGCTCACTGTCTTGTCCGCCCAGGCGCGCCACCCTCTTCCGAGCCCTGCCGCGCCGGGTGCCCGGCCCCCGGGCCGATCTCGGGGCTCGTCTGACTCCCGATTAGAAGGGGCGAGCGGGGACTTCTCCGCCCACCCCCCCCCCCAGACCCGGGCAGCAGGCAGACAACCGAGACCCCTCTTTTAGCCCCCCCCCCCCGCCCCCACCCCGCAGCCCACACCCCGCAGAGGAGGGCGACCAAGTGTATTTTACGGCTGACAGAGCCGATCGGTGTCAGTGGCTCAATCGTCAAATGTAACACGTGTGCCGATGGGCTGATCAATGCTGGCAAACGTGGCCTTCTTGACGTTCGTTGGCATCGGCGGCCGGAAGACATGGCCCCCCTTGTTGTTTCCCCCAGCGGGGCGCGTCTGTTGCCGGCCGCCACTGGCCGGCTGGCGACGATCGGGGCGGTCGGTCCCCCCCTGCTGCGAGCGGTCCTTCCACGCCGGGCGATCGCCCTGGGGGCGGTCCTTCCATGCCGGGCGATCGCCCTGGGGGCGGTCCTTCCATGCTGGGCGATCGCCCTGAGGGCGGTCCTTCCACGCGGGACGGCCATCGCGACGGTCTCCCCGGCCACCGGCGGCCGACGAGCTGGCCTTCATCACACCGAGAGCCTTGCCGTCCAGAGTCTCGCGCATGAGCACCGGCTCCGCCAGGTAGCCCGAGCGCAGACCCTTGCGGATCTCACCGCGGTGGTTCACCTGGTTCGAGCGCTTGAGGCCGATCCACTCACGACGGGACATCAGCTAGGTGCATGGGTGGTGCGCGATGGAAAGCAACGGAGAGGGAGGAGAGATGGAAGTGCAAATGCACATGCAACGACGGAGGATCACGCAAGGTGTGCAGGGTGAGTGGGTGCCCAACCAAAGGCCGCAGAGCAGCAGTAGACACCGGTCCAAGGCGGGGGAAAGGGTGGAAGAGAGGGGGAAAAAAAAAAAGACGCACATCCTGAGGCTCGTGAGAGTTGACCAAATACTGCACACGTTCTTGGGGGATATCCTCGGCAGCCGGTGCCGCAGACAGGAAGAAGGAAGAAGCAGCCGCCGGGGCCGGGGCTGGCTCCTCGGTCGACTCGGTGCGGCGCTTCTTGGCCGATGGCTCGGCGACGGCCAGCTCGCCGTCCTGAGCATCCACATCGTCCTCGGAATCATGCTCATCCCGATCGTCGTCGTCGTCGTCGTTGTCATCCTCATCGCCATCCAGCGCCTCGGTGCCGGACTCGCACGAAACAAACTCCCCATCGGAGTCACTGTCGCTGCTGGAGGTCGCATTCCAGGCGGTCGGCTTGGGATTCGCCGAGACCAAGGCATCCGCGGGGGCGGGTGCCGCAGCATTGGCGGCCAGCATGTCGGTGGCCGGGCGCTTGCGCGGGACCACCGGCTGCGACACCGGGGCCACCACATCCTGGTCGACCATGGCCGAATCGGCACCGTCCACTTCCGACGCGTCGACCGCCGCCTGGCGCAGGGTCGCAGCCAGGGACTTGCGATTGGCTCGACGGGCGGCCTGCGCATCGGCCGACACATTGCGCACCGGCTTCACCGTGTTGGCCGGCACACGCAAGTGCACGGTCCGGCCATGGCCGCAATTGGCGCACCGGGCCAGGGTCGGACCCTCCTCCGGGGGCGGGGTGGGCTCCTGTGCCGGATCTGCCTGCTCGGCAGCCTCCAGAGCACGCATAACCGGGCTCTCACCGCAGTGAGAGCATCCGCCGCCAGGGGCCAGGCCGGGCGCCCGGGCGCCAGCCCGCGCAGCCGCCCGGGCCTGCTCCAGAAGGGCATCACGCGCGGTGACCACCAGCTCATCCACGGTGGGCGTGGTCGGGAAGAGGGCAATGTACTTGTACACCAGCGGGAAGCAGCGGTTGTACAGGAGATCTCCCTCGATAACGAACAGCTCCTCTTCCAGAGCCTGGCGCTCCTGCGCCCCGGCATCCTTGAGCTTCTTGGTCACCTGCTTGAGCTTGCGCATGAGCTTCTGGCGATCTGCCGAGGGAACAAAGCCCATGTTGTGATTGTCAGATGGGAGCCGTCATCATCGCCAATGCCAGCCAGTCACAGATGCACATTGCGTGGGGAGGAGGGAGAGGGGGGGGGGGACGGAACACCGCCAAAGAGACCAAACAAAGCACACAAGAGCACGAGGGGGCTAATTTCCACTCCACGCGCGGACAAAGTACACGCACCAAAGAACCGGACCATGTTATAGCGCTGCAGCTGGACCGACTCAATCTGAGTCAGCTCACGCTTGCGGAATGAGGGGGCAGGCGCAGCGACCACAGCTTCCGGGGCAACGGAGGCGGCCTCCAGCTCCTGGGCTTCGAGGGCCGCAAGGCGATCCCTGACCGCCTGGGCACGCGCTTCCATCGCGGCGCGCGTCTCAGCATCAAGGCCCTCCTGCACATGGGGTCAGCAGACGAAAGGCATGTGTACCCTTGGGGGCGGGATGGCGGGGAGAGAGGCCGGCAGGGCGAGGCCAGACGCACCTTCTTCAAGAGGCGCTCGGCACCGCGCAGGATTCCCTTGAGGCGGCTCTTGCCCAGGGGCCGGCCCTCATTGTCCATGAGGACGTCCTCCATCGGACGGGTGGTGGTCATTTCGGTTGGCGACGATGCGGCTGGGCGGGAGAGCAGACAAAATGGCAGAGGGGTAGGGGAGAGAGAGAGAGAGAGAGAGAGACAGATAAGGGGGGGGGAGAGCGAGGGAGACACGGGTGAAGACGCTGGAGCGACCGGCCGGCAGTCGGGCGCCGACCCTTGAACCTCCCTTCGGAGTGGGGCGGGCGGGGAGGTGGTGGATTGCTGCGTGCGCCTCGCCGAGTCTCGGCTTTCGAGCCCCGGGGATGGGGAAGGGTCCGCCGGCGTGGCGGCCCCGCCCGGGCCCCCCCCCCCCCCCCCCCGCCCGGCCCCCCCCCCCCCCCCCCCCCCCCCCCGCGCGGGCCGGCATCCGGGGATCGGCAGCCTCATGGGTCAATCACGCCTCAGCGTGTCAGCAGCCAGCTCCAGCCTCCATATGCTGATAAACAAGAACACCCATTGGGTCGTGTCATGCGTGCATCCGGCACCAGCGGCAGGAGGCCTGTTTCCCAGGGCGTCCTTCTAGGAAAGTGGTGGCCCGGAGGGAGGACCTTGCCCCCGACACCGAGTCCAGCCGAGACACAAGGGCCTTCTGGCTGTCCTGCACTCATCATGGGTGAGTGATTCGCTGGTGCAGCCCCCCCCCCTCCCACCGGAGGTGTGTGCGTGCGTGTAGGTGCGGTGAGCCCTGGCAAAGCGGGAGCCAGAGGGCGGGGTGGAGAAGACGGGACGCGTAAGACAGTTTCTGGCGTTTTTTTTTCCGCCACCCAAGCCACACCCGGCTCGTACGCGCTGTCGGGTGCCGGCCGATGCGCTGGGGGAGTCTGCGCGGCGCCCCGGCCTTCCTCCCGCCCGGGGCCCTCCGGATACGGTTCGAGGGGGGACATCTAGCGGTTTCGTGCCGCGCCCATGCGTTGGCACCATATTGCGGGATGGCGGGCCACAGAGGGCCGGTCCGCCCCCTGCCGCCGCCGCCGCCGCCGCCGCCGCCGCCGCCCGCGGCCCCGGGCCAGGCGGCATGTACATGCATGCGCGCGCGCGCGCGCGCGCCCCAGGTCCAAGGGAAGGCGAATGTCTTTGCATGGGATCCTGACCGTCGGCGCGCCGACGGGGGCGAGGGAACACCCCTCCTCCCCGGTTGCGAGAGATGACAGAGAAGTGCCGGGCACAGGGCCCGGGTGTCGGTGTCTCCGCCGGAAGCCACATGTCCCCACGAGGTCGTCCTGTGGCACTGGGAGTGACTGGCCGGGAGAGATGATGATGATGATGATTGATGAGGATGATGATGAGGCGTCCCGCTCTCCGAGTGGGCAGGCGTGCGGGGACGTGGCCGGGGATCGTGTCCCAGCAGTTGGGGATCTCCTGGGGGGCAGCCGGGTCCGGACTTGGCGCTCGGGACAGCGGGGGGCGGGAGAGGGGGGGGCGGGAGAGGGGGGACAACTTTGTTCCTGTGCGCGCGCGCGCGCACGGGCTGGCCCAAGAGCCGCCAGGGCCATGGGCTCCTGGTGCCCAGGCGGGGGGGGGGACGAGGGGCGGCCCTTCGGCCCTCACCTGCCATCGATCTCGATCAGCGGGCTGGGGTTGGTGCCCTGAGCGAAGGAGGGCTTATGCCCCTCCCCCCCCCCTACACCGTTGGGGAGTCTTCCCCTCTCGCAGTCGCCTCTGTCGGGTGATTCGCCTGCGGCGCGACGCTCACCACCGCATGCATGGCCCTTCGTCCGGCGCCTGTCCTCCGGAAAACCACACACACACACACACACACTCAAGGGGTTGTCTCTCGAGTCAGCCCGATTGAGTGACGGACTATTCGACTCCATCCGCTTCTCTCTTTCCCGCCCTCCTTCTCTCTCTCTCTCTCTCCCTCCTCCCCTGACTCGTCCCCTGTCGCGCAAACCATATCCAGCCCTTTCCCTGTGCCTTCAGCCCGGTCCTCCCTCTCTCTTTCTTCCCCCCCCCCCCCCCCCCTCCCCCCCCCCCCCACCCCCGCACGCCCCCCCCCGCCGCCCCCGGATCCGCACCTCCTTTTGAACACAGCGCGCCCTCCGGCCGTGTGTGGTTCGTGACTGCTGCCCTGAGAGGCGTCTCCTCCCGCCCCTTCCGGACCTTCTAATGCCGGTTGAGGCCTGCGTGATCTAGCACCGCCGGTTCCGCCCACCCCGGTCCCGTTACCCCGGCGCGCGCGCTCGGCCGAGGTACGCTCTGCCCTCCACTCGGCATCTGCCCTTGTCTGTGGCAGTCC